TTCCTGCAAGAATCCCTGGCCTCACTCACCTGCACTACTATATCTTTCATGTAGTCGTACTCCTCAGGATGCAAGAAAGCTGTGAACTCCTCCTTTGTGGCAATGAGGTCTCCATCCTTGTCTGCCATTTTAAACCTCCTCTCATCTCTAACCATCATCTGTTTATAGTTAAATCCATCATCAGGGTCTGGATCATCTAGAAAACAAAAATTTAGGTCAAATCTTAAAAGTTTTCAGATAAAAGGAAAATGTGTGGGGTGGAGAATTAATTACCAAGAGAGAATAACCAAGCAATGAGGAAGTAAACTCAATTACACATCAATTACACAGGTAAAATTGCAGCAGTGCAAAAACACTCAGTTTGGGCTAAAGCACCAGTAATCCGACCTGAGCCAGGTCCATGTTAAATGTCAATGTTTGCTATTCAACATGGAACTTGGCACCTGAACTCTGTAACCGAGTATGTAATGCTTCACTATTACTGTAAGACTACTAGTAGGCTTGAATTTTCTAGTGATATCAGGAAGGTAATAGCTTTAAAATTATACTGTTGGGGTTCGAATGTTACTGTTTTCCAATTTGATCCTGGGCAAGTAACTTACTGTGCCTTGGTCTCTTCTGTACCTGCCTCATTAGACTGTCCTCAGGTTTAAATTATAAAATAAGTCTAAGCTAAATGCTTTAAGTAATGCCTGCATATACTGACAGTTGGCTTCCAATAAATATCAGCCACTGTTTTTTTCCTTAAATACTAGCCTACCATTAAGAAGCTATATCCCAGGTACCGGCAGGAAGTGTGGTGGCTAAGGGTGCTAGACTCCCACACGGCCGACCATGGTTTGAGTCCTGGACCTGGTGGCTTGTTTTTTTCTCTCTCTCTTGTTCATTCACTCTGTCCCTCTCTAGTCAAATTAAATGAAGAAAAAAAAAAAGTAAGTAAATAAAGTTAAGTAAAATAATTCTTAAAAAATAAAAAAATTAAAAAAAAAAAAAAAAAAGCAGCAGCTATATCACAAATGCCTTCTATCCCCAGTAAGTACGCTTCGACTCGGGCAACAGAACATCTCTACTTTGAAAGGGGATAATTTGGTTTTTAAAGCCAACTTAGAAATCTACTAAGAGGTAGTAAGTACTCTTCATCCCCTTTTATGTAAGATTCTAGAAAATGCAAATGAATCTAGTTACAGAAAGTAGATCAGTGGCTGCCTAGGGCCACGGACAGGAGGAGGGTGAGAGTTACAAAGGGACATGAAAATCTGGGGGGTGTAGGTGATGAATATGTTAATTATCCTGACTGTATGAATGGTTTCACTGGTGAACACACATGTCAAAATGTATAAGCAATGCACTTAAATATGTACTACTGCATACCAATTAAGCTTTGAAAAAGCCATTATCAAAAAATAAACAATAGATCACAACTACAGTCAAGTTGGACCTATCCATCTGTTACAATGTCGAACTGCATAAGCAGTTATCCAGACTTTATACAAAAATCTAAAAGAATATTTAGTTTTTTTAAGCTGAAAAAGATGTAACAGAGTTAACTACAGAAAACAAATAAAACACTTTTCAATGTGAGTTGCTACATGAACCAAATAAGGTAACAAACATGAAGACATTTTTTAAAGAAAAAAAGACACATTAAAGGTCAGTTATTGTTCCTGTAACTTACAGATTAAATAATAAAAAAGATACAGCACTAGTTTTATAAAATCCACAGTTCAATCTATGTACTCTTTAAACTCAAGTGAAAAACAAAAATAAAACATTACTACTCTGTTTTGAGAGTTAATAAGCAGCTTGAGCCATCAATCTTTGTTGAGTCAAAAAACCAGCAAGAATGGTGAGGTGCTTAAGGGAGCTGGATCTCACTTGGCCTACCACGTGATTTGAATCCTGGCTCTGGTGGCTTGAAAAACACACAGTGCACATGCATGTGGGTACCCCGAATCCCAACAAGATGGAAAAATGGAGAAGGGAGTGTGATGTGACCATGACCCACTGGTGGTGCTCTCTCCCTCTCTCCTGAGCACATGCGCCCTCTGGCAAATTAAAATAGAAAAAATTCAGTAAGACAGCTTATTGAATCACATGGCTTTGGAACCCTATATATATGAAACTTCAAAGCCATAAGAGCTTGGAGATGGAGAATTTAAAGAAAACATGACCTTTCTCAGATACTAAGTCCCTCTCCTAAACAAATACAAAGTTTCAGTACCAACTACATATCATAAGAAAAGTAACAAGACAACTTATATTTTAGGACTACATCCTTAGCTAAGAGCTCTCCTCTCTTTGTTGGAGGAAAACACAGTGACTGAAATTAAGTCGCCTAAGAACAACATGCACATATAAAAGGATGGGAAAAGGAAGATGCAAAACTGTATTTTTAATGATGAAACTTAAATGCCTAAATCTCTGCTTGGAGTGCTTTATCTATCTAAGCACTGGCCCATGGCTCTAGCTGGCCTGTCTGCAGCTTTGAGCTCATTTCGGTCTAGGGAGGGTGAATCGTAGAATTCCGTATTTTACTAGTGGCGGACAGTATTACTATTCCTTTTCTAGATAGTGGATTCACTGAGATGGATTTTAACTGAGAGCTAAGGTGATTTATATCTGAACACAACTCTGAATCAAAAACACACTCTCACAAAACCTCCTCAGCATTTCTACAAGCTGCCTAATATCCGCTAAACACTGTCTACCCACACGCCTCCAAAAAAAGATGCCTTATAAAGACATTGTTTCTCTGGCCAGTGCTTCAGCGTGTGCATAGTCTCAGGCAGCAGAAATACCCATTACATTGAATCATCTGCCCCGTCAGGCCAGATTTTTATCCACATAATCATAGAGAGATGAAGAATCACCCCGAGAAGCAAGTGAGTGGCCAGGTCTGAGCGGAGATTTATTAACACACCATTCTGTTTAGATCACCAAAAGTCTGCCCTTTGCTTTATATTTATAATGAATTCCAAATAAATCAGGAGGGTGCTGGGCCTTAGCCAGAGAGCAAGAATCATGGATGACTCTCCATCTGTGCTGACCTTTTAATACACGTGTTCTTAATTGGGTGAAGGCTATGTCTGGTTCTTGGCTAAGTGTCAAGCATTGAGAGGGATCACCACGTTAGTCTTAGGAACGAGAACAAGCCCAACACAGAAATAAAAGTCTCTTCACCAGAAATGTATGCGCTCCTGTAAGTACCACAGACAGCTGGCTATGCAGGGGGGAAACAGGCCATTATGCGCTCCCTGTCAGTCTGTGGTGGGAGGACACAACCCAGAAATTGGCCAAATTTCCAAGATAAAAACAAAGAGTACCATAAATATTCTTGTCTCAAACTGTGGCCATGTACAAGAGAAGAATCTCATTACACCCTAGTCCATCAGCTCAGTAGGTCTGCCACCCAGTATCCAGCAGCAGACAAGTGCATTAAGTAAAAGAAAATCACTAACAGGTGGCTCAAGCACACAGCTACCAAATCGACAGAGAGCACTCGAAGGAACATTTATATGCCTTGAAGCAGTTGCAAAGCAGGCTACTAAACTCATGTGCCAGAGAAAACAAATGGGAAATTTTTCATTTCTCAACTTCAGTAAGCAGAAACACCAAAGTAGTTCAGTGGTACCAAGGAAAGTTACTTTATCTGAATGTTACTTTATTAACAAAAGACAGTGATTCCCCTCCTGGTCTCACTGTCATAAAGCAATTAATCTGGTTTTAATTCCAGGTCCAACACTTTAATAGGACCTTATCAAGAGACACTGCAAAGCTTCCTGCTTTGCATCGTTGAAATGATGCAGCCTTTGATATGAATTCTACTCCAAATATTGTCTCTATGGGGGATGACAGAAAGAAAAAAATGGTAAAGTATATTTGAAATGCTAAAGATGCAGAAGATGCCAGGGTTTGGAAAACCAGAATTAAACACATTAAAAAATACATCATATACCAATTTAAAATGAAAACAGACAAGGAAATCAGCTCAGCGTCAAGCTATTTCAGAGAAGTGCAGTGTCTTCCTTTCCTTTACTGCATGACCCATTTGTTTCCTTGGCTCAAGGCCACGGCCTCTGCCAGGCTGACATCTTGCCCCTTACCCAGGTAAGTGCCATAAGTCACGTTTCTGTACTCATCCCAGGAGATTAAGCCGTCTTGATTCATATCAAACTCCTGCCACTGGTTTTCAACATTGTCATATATGTATTTCTTCTGGGCGTGCTTAATCCAGGATTTCAGCTCCCCCTCCGTCACAAACCCATCTTTATCCGCGTCTATTTTATCTACAATCATTCTGGACCTATCCATCTGTTACAATGTCGAACTGCATAAGCAGTTATCCAGACTTTATACAAAAATCTAAAAGAATATTTAGTTTTTTTAAGCTGAAAAAGATGTAACAGAGTTAACTACAGAAAACAAATAAAACACTTTTCAATGTGAGTTGCTACATGAACCAAATAAGGTAACAAACATGAAGACATTTTTTAAAGAAAAAAAGACACATTAAAGGTCAGTTATTGTTCCTGTAACTTACAGATTAAATAATAAAAAAGATACAGCACTAGTTTTATAAAATCCACAGTTCAATCTATGTACTCTTTAAACTCAAGTGAAAAACAAAAATAAAACATTACTACTCTGTTTTGAGAGTTAATAAGCAGCTTGAGCCATCAATCTTTGTTGAGTCAAAAAACCAGCAAGAATGGTGAGGTGCTTAAGGGAGCTGGATCTCACTTGGCCTACCACGTGATTTGAATCCTGGCTCTGGTGGCTTGAAAAACACACAGTGCACATGCATGTGGGTACCCCGAATCCCAACAAGATGGAAAAATGGAGAAGGGAGTGTGATGTGACCATGACCCACTGGTGGTGCTCTCTCCCTCTCTCCTGAGCACATGCGCCCTCTGGCAAATTAAAATAGAAAAAATTCAGTAAGACAGCTTATTGAATCACATGGCTTTGGAACCCTATATATATGAAACTTCAAAGCCATAAGAGCTTGGAGATGGAGAATTTAAAGAAAACATGACCTTTCTCAGATACTAAGTCCCTCTCCTAAACAAATACAAAGTTTCAGTACCAACTACATATCATAAGAAAAGTAACAAGACAACTTATATTTTAGGACTACATCCTTAGCTAAGAGCTCTCCTCTCTTTGTTGGAGGAAAACACAGTGACTGAAATTAAGTCGCCTAAGAACAACATGCACATATAAAAGGATGGGAAAAGGAAGATGCAAAACTGTATTTTTAATGATGAAACTTAAATGCCTAAATCTCTGCTTGGAGTGCTTTATCTATCTAAGCACTGGCCCATGGCTCTAGCTGGCCTGTCTGCAGCTTTGAGCTCATTTCGGTCTAGGGAGGGTGAATCGTAGAATTCCGTATTTTACTAGTGGCGGACAGTATTACTATTCCTTTTCTAGATAGTGGATTCACTGAGATGGATTTTAACTGAGAGCTAAGGTGATTTATATCTGAACACAACTCTGAATCAAAAACACACTCTCACAAAACCTCCTCAGCATTTCTACAAGCTGCCTAATATCCGCTAAACACTGTCTACCCACACGCCTCCAAAAAAAGATGCCTTATAAAGACATTGTTTCTCTGGCCAGTGCTTCAGCGTGTGCATAGTCTCAGGCAGCAGAAATACCCATTACATTGAATCATCTGCCCCGTCAGGCCAGATTTTTATCCACATAATCATAGAGAGATGAAGAATCACCCCGAGAAGCAAGTGAGTGGCCAGGTCTGAGCGGAGATTTATTAACACACCATTCTGTTTAGATCACCAAAAGTCTGCCCTTTGCTTTATATTTATAATGAATTCCAAATAAATCAGGAGGGTGCTGGGCCTTAGCCAGAGAGCAAGAATCATGGATGACTCTCCATCTGTGCTGACCTTTTAATACACGTGTTCTTAATTGGGTGAAGGCTATGTCTGGTTCTTGGCTAAGTGTCAAGCATTGAGAGGGATCACCACGTTAGTCTTAGGAACGAGAACAAGCCCAACACAGAAATAAAAGTCTCTTCACCAGAAATGTATGCGCTCCTGTAAGTACCACAGACAGCTGGCTATGCAGGGGGGAAACAGGCCATTATGCGCTCCCTGTCAGTCTGTGGTGGGAGGACACAACCCAGAAATTGGCCAAATTTCCAAGATAAAAACAAAGAGTACCATAAATATTCTTGTCTCAAACTGTGGCCATGTACAAGAGAAGAATCTCATTACACCCTAGTCCATCAGCTCAGTAGGTCTGCCACCCAGTATCCAGCAGCAGACAAGTGCATTAAGTAAAAGAAAATCACTAACAGGTGGCTCAAGCACACAGCTACCAAATCGACAGAGAGCACTCGAAGGAACATTTATATGCCTTGAAGCAGTTGCAAAGCAGGCTACTAAACTCATGTGCCAGAGAAAACAAATGGGAAATTTTTCATTTCTCAACTTCAGTAAGCAGAAACACCAAAGTAGTTCAGTGGTACCAAGGAAAGTTACTTTATCTGAATGTTACTTTATTAACAAAAGACAGTGATTCCCCTCCTGGTCTCACTGTCATAAAGCAATTAATCTGGTTTTAATTCCAGGTCCAACACTTTAATAGGACCTTATCAAGAGACACTGCAAAGCTTCCTGCTTTGCATCGTTGAAATGATGCAGCCTTTGATATGAATTCTACTCCAAATATTGTCTCTATGGGGGATGACAGAAAGAAAAAAATGGTAAAGTATATTTGAAATGCTAAAGATGCAGAAGATGCCAGGGTTTGGAAAACCAGAATTAAACACATTAAAAAATACATCATATACCAATTTAAAATGAAAACAGACAAGGAAATCAGCTCAGCGTCAAGCTATTTCAGAGAAGTGCAGTGTCTTCCTTTCCTTTACTGCATGACCCATTTGTTTCCTTGGCTCAAGGCCACGGCCTCTGCCAGGCTGACATCTTGCCCCTTACCCAGGTAAGTGCCATAAGTCACGTTTCTGTACTCATCCCAGGAGATTAAGCCGTCTTGATTCATATCAAACTCCTGCCACTGGTTTTCAACATTGTCATATATGTATTTCTTCTGGGCGTGCTTAATCCAGGATTTCAGCTCCCCCTCCGTCACAAACCCATCTTTATCCGCGTCTATTTTATCTACAATCATTCTACAAGACAAAACAGTTACGTTTCAAGGTGCCGGCTCCATAAGGATTTTCCCCCAGATAGTAGGGACCTACCTAAAACGTAGCCGTAGGTGGCATTTTTATACTCCTCCCAGGAAACGAGGCCGTCCTCATTGAGGTCATGCCCCTTCCACTGTCGCTCTACATCCTCGTAAATCCAGCGCTTTTGTGCAAATTTAATCCAGTCTTTGAGCTCATCCACAGTGACAAACCCGTCCTTGTCGCCATCTATTTTACTTACAATCTTTCTGTAGAAAATGCAGAGAAATCCAGCAAGAGGTTAAAAGGACACAAGGCTCTGGAATTAGCCTGGTGTGTGACCGCAGGTGCTGTCCAGGGCTAGTGCATGGAAACAAAAAAATTGTCTTCACAACAAAACTGCCAGGCAGGCAACTGAAAACTTTTCTGTTAAGTGGCCCATTACTGGTCTGTAATGAGCCCTCTGGATAAAGTACGCAGTCCATGGCTGGTGCACTTGAATCCAAAAGCAAACACAGCCTCTCTCTTAAGAGGTAGTGATCAGCCTATGGTCAGAATTCAGAAGTGAATATCCATTCCTATCTGGGTTCTCCAACTCTTTGCATCAAATAAATGTAATAAATCTTTTTATTTTTCTTTACTGCTTTTAGAAGACAGTCTTTATTTTTTGGTAAAATAGTCACAACCACGGACATAGTTTTCTACAAATCCAAAATATTTAAATCAGACTTTCGAAAATGTCACTGCTTTTTAAAAAGTAACATTTTTGTTTAAAATATAAAAATAGAAAAAAAACAGTTCTGGGATCATCTATATCTTAAGGCAGGAAACAAACAAAAAAAACAATAGGTACACAGGAGACCGTGTATCTAAAAGCTACTAACAACCTTCAAATGTTGAATTGGACTTTTACATATAACCAGAAAAAGAAAACTCAAAATATGGTAAGAATGTATATCTCAGATTAAGAGAATGTTAATAATAAGCGGAGAGGATTAGTATGCAGATTATAAAGCAAAACAGCAAAGTTAAAGAATCAAGACACTCCTCCCTTTATGAGCTTCTTTCTTCCAGGTTCGTCAATGTCAATCTTAATGAATGAAAGGATTTAAAAATATGTGCATGATATGAAAGCTCCTGCTTAAAAATGCACTTGCCATCTTACAGCGGCTAAGACAACATACAAGTAAGCAGTCCAGTCTGGAAAATGAAGTTTAAATCAGAACTTCCCAAAGAAGCAAAGTCTTGGCAAATCTCTATGCTCTATTAAGGACAGGATGGAAAGACTGTCACTTGGAAGCAAGTAATGTCTTTTCCCAGTTTGTGTTCATTTCATGAAGACAACGTAAGAAAGTGATTAGAATCACAGAACACTAAAAGACATATTGAAAACAGACTCGTCTTCGTATAGATTTGGGGTTAGCCATAGCTGTCAAGTCCTATAATTAACAAGCATTTTCCTTCAAAGAATGTGTAATCTTGTAGCTTCTGCTCTAAAATGCTGGTAGAAACAGCAGTAAGAACCCATTTTACAAAAACTTTATCTACATGGAAATGACAGATTTTTTTTTTAAACTTCAACTTAGTAGAAGATTAACAATATTAACAAATGAAGTTATACAAGTTTTTAAAACTTTTGCATTATCTATAATGGGACTAGTTTGTGCCCAAATGGTATTGGCTCCCAACAATGCCATTGAACCATTACGAAAAAAAGGGCAAGGTATCAGAAACCCTTCCATCCCTGAAAGATATTTTAAAAAGGGAAAGATAGTAAATTCTCTTGACTTTGTGGGCCATATAAAGTCTGCATATATGTACATATATATGAGGGGACTTTAAAAAGTTCATAGAAAAATGGAATTAAAGTATGAGGTTCTTCTTGGTGCAAAAAAGTACTGAAGTACATGCATAGTTTACTGATAATATGTATTTCCATGAACTTTTTAAAGACTGCATATATATTTTTTACACAACCTTCTAAAAATGTTAAAGCCACTCTTATCCCGCTGACCATCCTGCATGCGGGCAACTGTGATAGTACACTGCAAGCAGGCATGTACTATTTTTAGGCATAAGGGTCTAAATTCTGATCTTTAAAAGCCTATAAAAATTTATGAAGCCAGTGGTGTAGTATCCCTACGATACTGGAGAACCCGATGGTTGTTATGATGCCACTAAATAAGCATTTATTTCAAGACAGACCCGATACTTGTAGTGACCTCTTGGCTTTCTTCTAAGAGATAAGAACTGCCTCTGCATTTCAAGTGGCAGAAGGGAAACCCTTTAGGCTGTTTAAAATTTGGGTCAATAAATGGGCTCCAGAAGGTGCTAACAGTCCTGAAATTTTCAGCATGCAAAAAAATCCTTTTTATCAAGGGTACATGAAAGAGAGAGACAGAAACAGAGAGAGAGACAGAGAGAACTCCCCAATGGGGTGTGGTCATGTCACAATCTCTTCTCCATTTCTCCATCCCTGAGGGATTTGGAGCATGCATGCGTAAGTGCTCAGCTTGTTTTCCAGGCCTTAGAGCTGGGATCTGAACCACATTTGCCATGTGGGACCCAATTTTCTCAACCACTAGGCTATGGGGCCAGCCCAGCATGGAACATTTTATAGGTATTCACGTGTATGCCTCAACTTTCAATATACTTAGAGTCTGGGCCTGTGATCCCCAAAAAGGATAATGAATTATTCTAGTCCATTCCTATAGCAAATATATCAAGGGGTGAATTCCTTTATATTAAGACCACTCTCTTGAAACAAATCTTCATTTGAAAAACACATAAATGAAAAATAAGTATATCTAGACTTTTTTGGGGGGTAGAATGATAATACATAAAGGAAAAAAGTATTCTATTTGCTGACATTCTCAATAAATAAGAAAGAGGAACTGAAAATTGTATATTAAAATTGTTTAAAACACTGCCTGGCCCAGTCATAGTGGCACAACCAAGAGGGTACCACTGGGCAATTGGCTGGAGCTGTATGAAGGTGAGACGGAAGGTCACAATGTAGTGAGACCCTTTCAAAAATACCTTCCCCAAACCCTCATGCGCTCTCTCTCATGAAAAATCAAAAACAAACAAAAAAATGCTTCCTGTAGTCTTTTAGGTATTAGTATTAAAGATTTCAAAAACAACAGTGAATTTTTTCTAAAAGTATAAACAATGACTTATAGTTTAGTTACTTGTCTTATAGACAGAAGAGAAATGGGGGGAATCTTTTGTACAGTCACTTACCAAAACAAGCAAGCAAACAAATAAAAAACAGTTCACCTGGGAGTCTTGCTTCTAACAGTTGTCACTGTATAAACTAGGGATATGTCACTAGGTCCAAAATTTGGGAGAAGCCAACAGTGCTTCTTCATTCAAGGAGTCTACAAGAAATCTCATTTTATCATCTTATTCTAACCAAATACAGTGTCTGCTCACATGTGGACCGTCTGATAATATTTACTGACAAAAAGGAATACCTTTTCTCTACTAAAAACTGCTAGCAGAGCTTTCCACTACTTACAGGGAACCAGAACATCCTCGCTAAAGTACCATCTACCCTAAATGACACCAAACCTAAGGGCTTTTCATTATTTAAAAGTAATTCTGTGAAGAGCGTGAGTAGATAGATCAAAATGTGGGCTGGACATGCACAATATTAATAGGCGTGACATGAAGACTTAGAATATCCTCATGCATCTCTATTTTCAGCCTGGAATGTTAGCACAGTTGTAAGATTAAAACTGAAAGAGAGTATGGTCTTTCAAAGTTAGAAAAGCAACCTAACAGGAGACTGACTCTTCGATGTATGTTTTTCAAAACTGCTTTCGCATGTTTTGCAATAGTTTTGCTCATTCAACATAGCAAAATCTTTTGATTATTGCTGCCAATGTTGAAGGATAAAACAGCATACCCTTCGGTTGGCAGATAACCCAATTATGGAATAAATTTATTTTGAAGTATTTCCCCAAGCAAACTCTATTAACAGTGCCTTATAATTCAGATGGTGTAATGGTTACACTGCTGGACTCCCACATGGCCAACCACTGTTCGAGTCCTGGACCCAGCGGCTTCAAACTCACGACAGGTACACACACGTGTGCCCAAAATCCCAAGAGGAGAGACTGGAGGAGAAGGGACTGCAGCATGGCTATCCCCCCAGGTGGTGATTCCTTGCTTCCTATCTCTGTCTCTCCAGCGAGTACATGTGCCCTATAACAAAAAATCTCTCTTAAAAACAAACACACACACAAAAATCAGTGTCTTATAATTACAGCACTATCTATACTGGCAAAATATTTTAGGAAACTGCTATGTGGTACAACTTTTCACACAAAGCTCTTGATTATAGTTCAGAAAGCTGCACCAATGGTGTTCATCAAGAAGAAAATATTTAAAAAACTGACCTCAATTTTCTTAAAAAGAAAATTTGGAAGACCCAAAACATAAACAATAGCACAACGGTCAACATTTTCAGGTCTTTGGTCATCAACTGGGATTCTAACAAGTCAGCTCTTTAGGTAAAAAGCTGTCTGCTAAGAGAATCACAGGATTTGACTATGGCTCAGCTGTTACTGGGAGAGTAATTCACATCTGACAATAACACTTGCACAATCTTCTAAAAGGCAAGGTTGGCTACCTGGGGGGATGGCCACATAGCAATCCCTTCTCTTCCATTCTCCTCTTGGGACTTTGGGCACACGTACACATGTCCCTGGCATGAGTTTTAAGCCACCAAGTCTGAGACTTGAACCACGGTTGACCACATGGAGTCCAGTGACATACCATTATGCTATCTATCGATCTCCATTGCTTTTGTTTTATTACTTAAGCAAATACAGGAGAATGAGAATAAAAAGGGTGGAGGACACCCTGGGAAATTATAAACGTTAACAGAAAATAGTCCAGGGATCCAATTTTGAGTTTGTTAGCCACTGAAATACTTGGCTTGGGCAATAATGAATAAACAGATCCTAGATAGCTTTTTAAAAGTAAAGGAGCAGAGATGGGAAGCTACCCATGTGATGTTCTTTCAGGATCAAGATGATGATGCAATTTAAGCTGGATCCTGATACTTGCTACTTTTATGTAAAAATGATTTTGCTTTGTAGAACAAGGTACAAACTGTTATTCAATGGGGAAATATAAGGAAGCAAGTGCTTAATTAAATTTTAGTGGTAGCAATTCTGTGGTTAGATTTCAGAAGATGTAGTTAAACACAGCTTTACAGGCGACGGAGTCAGAAGAGGGAAAATAATGAGCTGTTTTATAAAGAATGTCACTATGCTAACTAGCCCCCTGAGAGCTGGCACCTTACCCAAGTCTTTCCTTGCTCTCTTCTGGTGTCAGCTGATCAAAGGTCTTTGCCTCTTCGGCACCCAAGAAGGCATCATGGTCATAATCAAAACTCTGAGCATCATTGTGAATCTTTTCGCTGAGCTGAGGCTCATGATGTACACGGTCCTTCTTTTCTGTGGGCTTGCTCAAGGCAAAGGCTGTGCACAGGGACAGGCACATAAGAAACTGCCGCAGGTCCATGATCGGCGGATCTTGAAGAAAACAAAAGGCAATGAATTCAGGAGGGGGTATGCTCTTTAGTATTTCAACAAGAAATGAGAAGCTCGGGACCAGCACTTAGCGTAATGGCTATGTCGCTGGACTCCCACGTAGTCGACCGCGGTTCGACTCCCGGACTCAGTGGCTTAAACTCACGTCGGGCGCGTGTGCCTGCGTGCCCAAGATCCCGAGAGGAGAATGGAGAAGGGATTGCGCCGTGGCCAGCCCGGGTGGGGGGTGATTTCTTGCTTTCTGTCTCTATGTCTCTCTCTGTCTGGCAAGTGCACGCACCCTATAGCAAAAACCTCTCCAAAAAAAATAAATAAATAAATAAAAGAAATGAGAAGCTCACAAATTAACTGGACATACAAATCTATACAAGTCCTTTATATTATCCCAAATAGCACTACTTAATCCATATAAGTATGGTGGAATATCAGATACTCCAATCATTATGGTGAGGCATTTTCAATTTTCTTTTCTTTTTTTTTTAATAATTCTTTTTTTTGGCAAGGTTTTTTGCTATAGGGCGTGTGCACTCGCCAGAAAGACAGAGAGAGACAGAGAGACAGAAAGTGAGATATCACCCACCAGGGAGGATGGCCACACCGCAATCCCTTCTCCTCCACCTTTCCCCTGGGATCTTGGGCAAGCACACACACCCACCCAGCATGAGTTTAAGCCACTGGGTCCGGGACTCAAACCATGGTCAACTACATGGGAGTCCAGCGACATAGCCATTACACCAACTGCTGGTCCCTGACATTTCCAGTTTTCTTCACGTGACTATAAGTTAAAAAGGAAATTTATGGACAAAACGAAAACTTTGTAAATCAACTCCTTTCAAAAGGCACCAATGCCAGACTTCAGGAAAACACTTTTCTATTGATAATGCTGACATTTTTTGTACTACTGGCAGATTTCCTTACTCCTACTCCTCATTTACTTTTTAATCTGATGGAGAGAGACACACTGGGGGGTGGGAGGGTGAGAAAGCAAGCCACCAGGTCTGGGACTTGAACCACGGTTAGCCATGTGGGAGTGTCCAGAGCCTTAACCACCATGCCACCTGCTACTTCTCTAAATAGAATTTTAACACTTTTACCAAGTTTCTAAGAGTTAAAGTAAAAGGACTAAGATTTAAATTCTGGCTCCAGATCCTTTACTTCGTGTACTCCTATCAGTGGCTCAGTCTTCAAACTGACTGGTTATGAGAATCACCTCTGAAACTTTTAAAAGTTTTCCTTATTGGTTCAGAATTTCTGAAGCTGAATCGAGGACTCTGAATCTGTAGCTCTGAATGCTTCCCAGGTGATTCCGAAGGCTTCCCACATCAGGCTGAATCTTCAATCACCTTCCGAGATGAAACCATTTAGACGGTCTGGTCATAAATTAACCCCTTCATTCTTTAAACAGTTTTGTTTAACAAATTTGCCCAGGCATGAGAACCACCTGGAGTACTGTTTAAAATGGATTGCCAGCCCTACTCCAGACCTTCAGGATCTCTGCAGCCACAGACGATTCTAATGAACAAGCACAAGGCTGGGACACTTCATGGAAAAACTGCAGAGAAGCTGCAGGACAGAAGGAAACCTGCTTAGCATACTCTACAGACAGCCTGCAGTTCTATTCAGAGAAATTAAAAACTATGAAATTAAAAACCAAAGGGAGGAACCAGCAGTTATCGTAATGGCTATGTCACTGGACTCCTATGTAGTTGACCACGGTTTGCATCCCGGACCCGGTGGCTTAAAACTCACGTTGGGTGCGTGTGCGTGCGTGCCCAAGATCCCGAGAGGAGAATGGAGGAGAAGGGATTGCGGCGTGCCCATTCCCCCCCCCCCCCCCATGATTTCTCACTTTGTCTCTCTGTCTGGCTAGCGCATGCGCCCTTATAGCAAAAACCTCTAAAAAAACAAAATCAAAGGGAAGAGTTTCCCAGGCTTCCATATTTTAATTAACCTTTCATCAGTATATGTACTCTTGACTTTTTATTTAAAGCTTGCTAGAGGGCATGAGAGAAAGAGTTCAAGAGGGAGGTAAAGTGAGAAATCATCCCCCAGGGGGATGGCCACCCTCAACTCCTTCTCTTCTAGGGATTTTGGGCTTGCATGCACATCTGCCCAGTGTGATTTTTAATTCACTGGGTCTGGGACTCAATGCAGTTGGCCCTGTGGGATCTGACCACATAACTTCCACGCCACCTGCTGGCCCCGGATTCTGACTGCTTTTTCTCCTTCGGTGAGCGTTCCTTCAATTTCACGTTACCTCTTACTCATCTCTCTATGCCTCATCCCTGGTACCACTGAATGTGACTTTATTTAGAAACAGGGTCTTTGCAGATGTAATCAAGTTAAAATGAGATTATACTACATAAGAGTGAGCCTCAATCCAACAGCTAGTATCCTTAAAACAAGGGGAATTTGGACAAAAGGAGAGAATGCCGTGTTAGCAAAAGAGGCAGAATAGTGATGATTCGACACATCAGAGGACACTAAAGATTCCTGACAACTTCCAGGAGCTAGGAAGAGTCCAGAACTGTAAGAGAAGAAATTGCTGTTCTTTTAAGTCACCAGTTTGTAGCAATTCATTACAGCAGCCCTGGGAACCACAGTACAAAGGGACACTGTATCACATCAAAGTTAAATGCAGCACCCTGTCCTAATCCTAGATTAAACCAGCCACCAACTCTACCTCCCCCAGGAGGCCACTGGTGGAACTAGCTAGTCTGACAGTTCACATATACATAAACATTTACAAAACAAAATTCCTTCAGCAAAGCTTCTGACTCAGTGGTTCTCAATTCAGACTGCACTCTCCAATCACCTAGGAAGTTTTCAGAAAATGTAACTATTGAACCCCACAACTAACCAATTAGATAAGAATAGCTGGGGATGAGGTCTAGGCTTTAATCTTTTTAAAAAAGGCTTCCCAAAGTGTTGCCAGGTTAAGAACCACTACTCTAATCAAATTACCAAATGCTCACAGTAAATCTTGAGAAATTTGATTTGAAAGTGTACATTACATGAAGTAACTGCATAGATAAGACCCTGCCTCAAAGTTTTGGGAACTTGAATGGGGTAAATTATGCTAGGGGATAAAGAAATTAAACACGCCAATACATTACACCTATGCCCAATGTGTTCATTCTTCTAATAACCCCTATAGAGCAGCTAAGTGGATTATATTTGTATTATCTTAGGTTTGTACAGTCCACTGGACTCAATAAACTGAAAAAAGCCTAGCAAGCTAATAGTGAGCATATAGATTCTTTGGTAGTAAAGGCAGGGCCAGCCCATGGCCTAGTGGTTAACTGAGCTGGAGCCCACTGTGTAGTTCAGGTCCCTGGCCCAGTGGCTTGAAAAGCACACTGAGCTCATGTATGTGTGTGCCCTAAATCTGGACAGGATGGAAAAAGAAGAGACTGTGACATGACCACACTCCATCAGGAGGTACTTTTCTCCTCATTCCTGCACCTACAAGTCCACATGCCCTCTGATAAAATTTTTTAAAAAAGGAAATTAGGTACTGAGATAGAGAATTTTTTACGAGTTTTTTGCCATAGGGCGTGAGCTACCTGAAAAGAAAGATAGTAAGAGGGAAAAGTGAGAAATCATGCCCTGGGGGAAACAGCCACACTCCCTTCTCCTCCAGGGATCTTCAAGCCAACTGCGGTTGGCCGTGTGGGGGTCCAGCGACAAAACCACTACACCATCTGTAGGCCCTGAGAAAGACATTTTAATAGTGATACAACCTAAAGAGCTGATTACTAAGGCACAATCAACCTATTGGGTCATTGGAAAAGTCATGATGCATTTTTGCATAGAAAAATTCCTCGTGACTTTCCTGATGCTCTGACAGAAAGCAGATTATATGAAGGCACAACCTGAGGCCGCCATGAACAACTTCGGGCTGTTACAGAACACACGGGGCAGCTATCACACGCCATTACTGGGAAAGCAGCTCAGTGGTGCAAGCTCCTGAAATGGCAGGAGAGGATACACTGATAGGGAGTGGAAAGTGTTCCAGAGTCTATCGGGTGGTGCCAACACGACAGACAGAAATGCAGCCACAGAACTAACGGGGATGTGTTGGGGGCATCACTGCCCAACTGTCCAATCTGAAAAAGTTACTATTACTGATGATAAGACAGCTGTTTAAAACTGATGAAAATCCAGAGGAGATAATATAAAAGCAAAACATGAGACCCATAGAAAAAGGTAGGTAGTACTTAAATTGCTCCCACTGGGCCAGCCTGTGGCGTGGTGGTTAAGGCGGCAGGATCTCACAAGGCCGACTGCTTGGTCTGAGTGCCACTCAGCTTAAACCTTCCAGGCATGTGTGCATACATGCCTGAAGTGCTGACAGGAGAATGGAGAAAAGACTGCAGTGTGGCCATCCCCCCAGGGGACACTTTCACTTTCTCTCTCTCTCTCTCTCAATTTCTCTCTGGCAAGCACAATGGCCTTTGGCAAATTAAAAGAAAAAAAAAAAATGCTTCTACCAATGTTAGAACATAGCTATACTTCTGAAAGTTCCTCAACATTTTGTCTCAATCCATTCCATTAAAATACTCAAATGTGTACACAAAGACACTTGGATCAAGACGGTTCAAAGATGATGGTTTATAATGACCAGAAAATATCAGAACACAGAACGAGGGAATTGATGAAATATATTAAATCTATACTATGAAAACTATACAGAGGTTAAAAAACAATGAAGAGGAGAGGGCCCTTTAGAGCAGCAGTTAAGTGCTATGCAGAGGAAGCCAGATCCCACATGGCCAACCAGGTTTTGTGCCTTGGCCCTGGCAGCTTGAAAATGCTGAGTATGAGAACGCACGCAGGCTCCTGACAAGACAGAACTAGAAAGAGGGACTGCATTGTGTATCAGGTCCTGCTGAGAGATGGAAGCGCACACATCCTAGAACCTTATTGAAAGGGGGGGGGGTACATTATCTACAGTGAAAGAAAGAACTCATCAAAATATG